CTCAGCAGATTTAAAAATTCAAAAGTGTAAAAATTGTATATTTCTGTTATCTTTAAAATGAGCGCAACAAGATCCATTTTTATTGAGCCAATAAAAAGTTGCAACAGAAGTATTTGAAAAATTACGTTGACTACTATTAAATACACGAGTTTGATGTATTATGATAGATATTATTGTAATTCTATGTTATGAAAATATGTGTATAAAAAGAATATTGATAAATTATAATTAATAGAATTTAAATAATATTATTTATTCGTAGTCATTATCGATAGGAATATTTTACCCACGGTGAAAAAATAGAAAAAATTTTTTTTTCCACATGCAATTTTGATAGTGAATAATTATTCTACATTAAAAAACAACTTTTTTTCTCTTTGGAGTTTTTTTCTACAGTGCATAGTGTCCGATATAATCAAAGATGAAGAAAAGGGGATTGTTTTACAAAAAACGTTTTAACTTTTTATCGGCTTAATAAAAATGGATCCTGTTCCGCTGATTTTACAGATAGCAGACGAAATATATAACTTTTACACTTTCGATTTTAAAAATCTATTGAGCCGTTCAAAAATTGTTAAAAGTTGTTATAGTTGTGGTTTAAAAATTTAATGTAAAAAAAAAATTTTTTTTTTATTCTCTCTCTCTCTCTCTCTCTCTCTCTCTCCCCCTCTCACAAGAGGTCGCGTGTCGAAGGAACAAAAAGTAGTTAGTTTAGTTTAGATTCAGCATCGAACGTTTCCGGACATATTAATCGCTTGCGAGAGAACATTGAATTTCAATCAGTAGTTTTCAATATTATCGTACAAAAGGGTTTTTTGTTCGCAAATCGTCCGTGTGCACGGTCGCGATACGCACATTTTAATCTCACGAAATCTTCTTGACCTTTTTCAACTCTATTCTCCTATCATTATTTCCTGCATTCCAGCTATTTCTATTCTTAATTTCTGACGTGACGTGCCAACATTCATAACATTCACTTATTCAACCGCTGCATCGCAGTCTACACATCAACAACCGCATCAATTGATCAACCGCTGCTTAGCAGCTTATCCGAACAACGCATCAATTGATCAACCGCTACTTCGCAGTCTATCCAAACAGATGCACAACCCACAAATTACACACACACACACAACAATATCACACATTATCATTTGTAATTTTTATTTGTTTCCGTTCGAGGGAGTTTTGCCTGGCAACAGGCTTTCTTCCTTGGAGCCAAAATTATACATCATTTGGCTCCTAAGTGTTTCTTTTATGTTGACACCTTTCCTATTCCACAATTTTCTATCCAGTCCAAAGCATGAGTGAGATACTAATTTCAAAAAAAGGGGGAGGGGAAGTAAAGAGTTTTTTCTTCTTCGCGTTAAAGTGAAAGAACAACGGCTAGAGCTTTAAGCTTTAAGCATACACTTATACACGCCATTGTACGTACAAACATTTTTTTAAATGTTGTATCATGACTTCTTGTACCTTCAAACATACTTTTATAATGATTTTTTGCAAACTATTATTTCGGGAAACCAGATTTTTCAGAGATGAAACTAAAAATCTAATACCAAAATTCAATTCTTAAAAATGAATGTATTTATGCTGTAAAAGATGTGGATGAGCAAAGATATGTTGAAAATAGCTTCGATACTAATGAATTTGAACTTTATTTATAATCAATAAAAGGTATTTAACGATATTAAATGAAATACGGGCAAAAATAAAACCATCGCTTTGCAAGGGAAAAATACCTATTTTTAACCAAGAGTTAAATCGTGACAACTACAAACAAACGCACACGTACAATTTTTAAGAGACGACTTGCCTGTTTCGACATATACCAAAATACAAATGAGTTCAAAACTTTCGCGTTCGTATCGCCAAACTCCAGGCTCCCGACCTTTCGTTCGCCGACGTCAAACTTGTCCGAGGGTCGCTGCCCTCATTCGATCTTAAAGTGTCGCGCGCCTCTTCGCCACAGTATATATTTTAAATATACTAAAGACGTAATGCATTGAAATTATTTTTAATCACGTATTATTACTATTTATTTGTGTATACATAATACAAATCAATAATTTTTGTGAAATTGAAATTTATTAAAAAATTAATGATTTACTTCAAACCAATTATTTTGGAAATAAGAAGCGATAGTCGATTTTTTCAATTCCTTCTTTACAACATAGATATAAATCTATATAAATCTATATAAATCTATATAAATCTATATAATGAATATAGAAGCAATCTATTAATTCTTTTTATATTATATTCGACTAAAAGTAATAAATAATCCAATATGGTAGATCGTTTTTATTCAATTTACACTTAATTTACATTTAATATCATTCAATTTACATTTCATTGCTACCTCTTGACGAAAGAAGTCAAGTTAATGATTATTTCACGTAATGCCATAGAAAGAAAGTTTATTGATACAATATTGCACTCATTTCAAATATTAAACAATTTATTCATTGCAGCACAAAAAACTTTATAGATAATTGAAATTTACATTACAAAATTGAGTTCATTATTTAGTATCAGTCTTTGCAGATAGAATATTTCATATCTAATGAAATTTTCAATTATAGAAGCTTATTAAAGCATAAAAATACATTTTCAAAGAATACAAAAATTTATGAATCAGTAAACTACAAAATGAAGCCCATTTCTCAGCATTGATTAATAATACTCCCTCGTCTGGGAATAGCCGTCATAGCCAAATATTGGCATACGTTGATTATACGATTTATTCTTTTTGTAAGCCGCAATTCTTCATCCCTGTTTCTTATTCTCACCGAGATATTTTTGGTATTCACGTACAGGTTCAGCGCTCCTCTCCGCCTCTCTCTCTCTCTCTCTCTCTCTTTCTGCCCATGAAGAAAAGCTTTCGAAAGTTTTCTGTTTTCCTTCGGCACTTGCGAGAGCAGCGAGAGAGTGCAGCTCGAATGAAAAATAGTCCGAAAATTCTGACACGCGCAAACGCGCGTGAAGGTTAATCGACCGGACAGTCTGCTTTGCGAGAGAGCCGGAGAAAAGCTTTCGTCGGCGTGTTTACCTCCCTCGGCCGTAAAATTGCACCCTCCCCTTATTTCTCTTGCTCTTGCTGCCACGATTATACGCTCCGTTTGAGTCCCACGTCCGAGTGCGCACTCTCCGCACTAGAAGAATTAAGGAGTTATTGTATTAATAAAGCCCAGAAGCTTTCTGAAGGCTGCAGGTTTTATGATGTCTTTGCGGAAAAGTCCGACAGCTTGACATAGAATACATACTATCGTCTACATCATTTCTTTTCTGGCTACACTCGTAATTAGTTACTGATTTTCAAACTATTGATTGAAAACATAAAATTGAAATTAATTTTATTTATTAAAGTTCTCTTGACATTTCTTCAAAATGATGTTTTCTATAAAGCTATGTAGAGTAATAAATGTATATATACTATACATTCGCAACGGTATATTTGTCAATGTGGTCATCACTTATTGTGCAAAAGATATGTAGGCGAACAACTTGGACGCTTTACGCTTGAAATCATTCATTAAAAGTAAATATTTTACTACATTTTATGTTATTTATATAGATACTCGAATATTAACGTTAAAATTCTGTAGATTACACAATTGATACGAACCAACAATTGAGTGTTTCATTATTGACTTCATTGATTTGCAACAAATAATTAAATTTTTTTTCAATCTACATTTTGAGCAAGGTGAATTGCATATTTTAACTTTCAAAAACACCAAGAAAACAATCAAAGTTTCTTTATTCACTGGAAGTACACATCGGGAAAGAGCTCTTAATTCAAGAATCGAATAGTATTGAACAACTGAGAAACCTTGATCGGACGACCCACTTGGAATTGAAATAAACGAGAGCAAACAAAAGGATGAAGAATAAGGAAACCGTGGTCTCTTGTTTAACGAGATTTCCCTGCAGTACTTTCTATCAACCGATAAAGGGGCAAAAGAACATTAATGGAAAAATCACGCTTGAGAGACGACAGAAGATCAAACCGCAAACGGAGTAGCTGAATAGCTGATAAAACCATCGAATGTTTGTTAAAAAAATGTTTATCACTCTTAACGAGTTTAGTAACAGAAATTATCAAGATATTCTTTGCTTGTACCTGGTGCAATGTAAATGTACGCTTCATTTTCATGATTGCCGTGAGGCCATTAAGTGCTTGCGTTTCTGGTTTCCTGAGAGCTATATGACCAACGTAAGTTTACCAAGTGGAAAACTGCAATCACCATCAATGAAAAATTTTTATTGGCAACTCTCCGAGATAGGCAGCACACAACGATTACTGAAATTAAAAAATGTTGTATACCAAACGTCTTTCTTATGTAAACATAGTAGAGTTACTGCTATTTGATGGCAATTTCCAAAAACATTTGCGAGTGGCTATAACTTTTGCGTTTACGTAGTTGTCAGATGACGAGTTCATTTTCTGATTGAAATTTTTTAATTGGTCTTCTGAATTGATATCAATAACGACTGCGTTCGCTTTAACTAATTAAAATAAAGAAAAAGAGAGAAATTTTGCAAATGGAATAAAAAAGTTTGTTTGTTACCTAGTACTAGCAATTAGTCAAATTGAATATTTGTAAAAAAATGCAATCATTCAAGATGTACGCTTAAACAAATAAATTTCTTTCTATATTGATTCATATATTCCGAAATGGAAATTCGTTTTGGAAACTTGTTTAGCACCCCTAGCGACAATTGATTTTTAATGGGACAGCAAATAGTAGCAGCGCAAAAAAGACTGCTACAAAATACTAGATGAAAATGAGAACATTACAAAAACTAAAAGTCAGCAACCCCCCCCCCCCCCCCTCCAACTCAGCTCATGTAGGCAAACAATAACTTGCAAAAAGTATATAGCTTTGAGCGACGCACCTCTGTCTCTCTTTGTTACTGCATATACACACACGCAACATAGCCAGCAGGGTGTATTCGCGAAACATTCTTGATTCAACCGAAGGCTTTTGTTTCAGGATCCTGTAACTCCGCCCTTGGCATGGAGTCAGGCGCCATAGCGGATTCGGCACTCAACGCCTCGTCGTCGTACGTGACAAATGTTGGCCCGCGATACGCTAGGTGAGTTCCTATTTCGTTGACCTTATTTTTTCCCCCAAATTTCCAAATAAAACCAAAGAAAAATATTTTACTGCGCGAATTGGACGAAAGAATACGTGATATAACAATAAAAGGTGAACAATGTATTTTCATGGGTAATCCGCGCCAAGTGCATCCGTATTTAGAAATATTCATGTCTTACACGTGTACAGCGAAGCAACTATATATATAAATATACATGCGCGTGTGTGTGTGTGTGTGTGTGTGTATCAGTACGTATACGTCAAAGCATCCTTCTTGTGTGTGGTTTCCAGTGTTATTGTCAGGTATAAGTCAAGAGATTAAATATATGCTTGTCTGTATTTGAATGAGGAATCTTGGGAAAGCGAAGTGTGATTAATTAGCGTCTGGCTGCGTTGGATGTGTCGATTTCAACTATAATAAGTATAGTTTCGTATTCAATTTTAATATTGCTTTTTCTCTTACTGCGCTACTAAATTGTTCGAGAAATATCGGTTTGAGGGCATCAGTTTCGAAATGGGCGAGGACGCGAAGGAAAAGGGAATAGCTCGACAAAAATAGAAAAGCGGACGGCAAGTGGTTAACAGAGCCGAGCGGAAACCAAACCATGCGAGATTTAAGTCAGGTAGCTTGGAAGCAAGCTGTTGGGTAAAAGTTTTTCTTATGCAATTTTTGAAGCACACTGACGAGACCAACGGACAGATATGACACGGAATGTTCTCGCAATTTTATTTTTATTCGTTTTCGTTATTCTTTTGTAGTTAGCGCACGATACATATTTCAATATCACTTCCTATAGCTAATACATTATTTTCCAGCACATGTAAGAATTCTACACACCTAGAAACAATTTGCTTATAATCGTAAGTCGTAGAAAAAATTTATAAAATATTCCAGTGATGTAATTTACGAATCATTCGAAATAATGCTTGAATATGAAAAAGTTGTTTAATTCCACTGGCACATCACGCATAATTCACTAAAAAAATAGTCACGAAAAATAGCAGCGCGCGTAAATTTTGAAAATATCAACTCGTCCGACAGGCAAATGATGAAGTTGCAGCAACGAGCTAGCAGGAGGGAGAAGGGAGGCGGTGGGTGGGGCAGTTGATTTATTCCCTGGACGCGTCGAGAAGTGGCCGCGATAAAAGGACCAGTAGTGCCCGGCCGAGCGCCATATCAGTCGTGAGAGAGGGAGAGTCGCTCGCCAGAGTAATGAGGAGCCGACTGACGCTGACACAGATCGAGAACTACCCGCACACCTGGGAATCTGTCTTTACGCGCACATACCGTTTCACCCGAATTTTTCATGGCGCCAGATGCTGGCAAGTCCAGCGCTTTGTTTCCACTTTCCTTTTATCTATTTACTTTTCTTGCAAACCGTTGGCGTCTCCACGTGTTATATACATCTTTCCTTATAGTCAATGATCCAAGCGATATTGAACATTTGTCGCCAGTAGATTTTCTCGGAATAATCTATCGAATGTATATTTAGAGTAATCTTTGTTATCAAGGATTTATAATTCAATGATACTTAAAATTAGTTATTTTCTTAACATAGCTACAACTGTATTTTCATTTGATGATTCTTAAAATAAAACTTTTGAGATATTTCAGGTATTTTCTGTACTTGATAAGCGAGAATATCTCAGCTGTCTATGAAAAGTTATATGAGAGCAGTATGCCCAATTCGACTTTCAAATCCCTTAGGCATCAAATTCATATGCTTCTTTCTTACATCTCTTTTGCACAATCAATCATTTACAATCCTGCCTTCATTGCACGGATAAAAAGCCCATTCGTAACTGCATTCACAAAATACGATTGATGTACTTTTTTACCGTTTTATATTCCCAAAGGATTTCATTATAACTTTGCATACAAGAAAGGTTGAAAATGCATAGTTTTTTTATGATTTGAATATTTATAACGATTCACTACCAAAGTACAGTGGTATTATTTAGCGTGCTTTGCGTGTTCTTTCTTTAAATATATATTTTTTCGTTATTTATTACATTATTTAAATCTGTTACATGATAATTTTGAGATATTAATGGTATATACGCGTAGACAAATTATGTTGTTTGAAATACACCACATTCATAGATATTCATTGATATATACAATAGAAATTGCACCGATTTTTTTCACAAAAACCGATGAATTTTTATTCATTTCAAAATATATTGAAAAAATTATTCAAAATATTGATTGAACCTATGTTATATATAACAAAATATGCTAAGCTATTATTCTATTATACAAAAGGAAACCTTAAATACTTAATAGTAGTGCTCACGGCTCCATTCTTATATTAGTATGAGTATTACATTTAATATCTTGTTCTTTTGTTACCTCGTTGAAATACCTGTGAACATTCTTCAAATTTAACGGATTTAATATTCTGATAATTAATATCCGCTGTCCGCATATCTTTGAATTCACAATGTACAAAAGATAAAAGGGTACATCCTTTCATTTTATTCGATTCACTTTCCCTTTCTTTCAACCACATTTTAAGACAATATATTTTTTACTATCGCAGATGGTTCTAAAATTATTAATATGTCCTGATAATTTCAAATATGTAATCTCTATTCTCTTAAAACGATTTATCAACAGCATACTTCTATTTTTAGATTATTGTCCATTTAGATTATGTATAAACTGAATTTACCGCTGAAATATCAATCTCATATCTCTAGAGTTATAATACAACTATTTTAAATACACAAAAAAAATTTCGCGCTCTTTTTTTCCCATCAATCAATCAGAAAGCTGCATATCTGTGAGAATTCTTTTTTTTAAGATAGGAGGACAGAAAATGTCTATTAGATTTATATGTGGAAAGTAGAATTTTAATACGAAAAGTAAATAAATCTTTAAATATTCAGATGAAAATAATATGTACGTTTGATCATCTGCAGCAAATTTATACTACCAGGTTATGTCATATTCCTCAACAGATTCAAGTGACTCGCGCGTGATAATAAGTAAACAAGGGAAGCATCGCTTTTCTCCGTGCGCTGATAGCTATAAAAATTGAAATCCGCGGAACAGAACGACACCCAATCAGCAAGAGTTTGCCATTCGCTTCAGCCATTGGAGATCCTCGCTTAACAAGCAATCAATTTTTATGTCGATGCGGGTCGTTAAGCGCGACTTTTTTTGCGCACTAGCGATGACAGCCGATCGTGCGGTAGAGGCCTCTGAATTTTATTGCCCGCTGACCGATATCTCTATATGGATGTGGACACGGCGATGAAATATTCGCCATACAACATTTTTGTTTTTCCTTTTTTGCGCTGATATTTCGAGTTTTTCTTTTCATCTAGAACTATGTTTTTTAACGAAAAAATTCTTTATTTTAGATTAAATAGAACGTTCGATAGAAAATTGCCGTTACATCTATCTAATTTTAATTACTGTTTCAATGTTGGAGAGTCATTTTAATTTTAGTTTTATGTAAATGTTTTCTTATGTAAAACAATAAAAAATGTTCAAAATAAACAGATTTGAGGTGAATTGTTTTGTATTTTTAAAAAAGAAAACTTTTGACATTTATATACTAAGATTATAATTAAAAATGATGATCCATAAAATTATATATAATTTTAGAGGATTATGGGTAATATAATACGTTTCTACAATAAATTATCTTTTTTTGTTTCATCGTAATTTAATTCTATTCTGTAGAAAAATAGCTTGATTGATAAAACATGCGTCAATGGAGCGCAAATTTGACAATTATGGCAAGTTAAGACACGTAAACATGGTTGATGTTGGAACCGTTCATCTCTCTTGCTCTCAAATCAGCTATTCGATACCGTGAGGTCGAGTACGATATTATCAAATAATTTCCTTAACTAAAGATATTGTGTTATTGTTTGAAATGTAATATCGGTAGGATCAATTACGCTGCTGGAAAGTTATATTTTTTTATTATAATTTGAAAAAAATAAATGCTTCATACGCTTCTATACAATTTGATAAAATATAAACAAATCTCTGTTTTTATGAAATTCAGTACGATGTTTCGATTTCATGTTTGAGTTCACTATTAAAAATCCGGATAACATAGAAATAAATTTCAAGTTACCAAAATAGCTCGTGTTATTCATGATTTAAATATTTAAATATTTACTGATTTTTTTTTGTGATCAAGCTAATGAAAAGCAAAAGTTTTACAAATAGCCATACGTTGGTTAATACAGGGCTCTCCTCTTTGAGTATCACACATTTTGAATGCATACATTTTGAATCTTTGTGTTACGACCCTCTTTAAAGAGTATCCTGAGATTTTAAAACATACCTTATTGGAAATGAAAAGTTTCTAGAATGGTCAACTCTACAATATAAATTGCGTGGCATGATTAAAAAATATTTCATAATTTATGGTTGAAAGTTATATGAAACTTGTTTCGTTTTTTTTTTGACCGCAGTGCATTTATAAATGTGGTTCCGAGATTTTTCTGGGTCGCAGAATAAAATGAATAAATTAAAATCTCGGAGTGACGGGTTTCATATAAGTAAATGAGCAGTTACAGAGAAAAGAATTTTCTATTTTGAAAAATTCATATCACTGTGTGAACGATCTTTGAAGGAAATATCTGTGCCTTTCATTCTTCACAGTAAAATTCAAAAAAAGCTTTAATTGCATTATAATTATTCCATTTTGTAAATCAAAAATTAAATTTACCAACTGCACTAAGTATTCATAATTTATAAATATATTATTATACTATTTTGGTATTTCAATATTCAGGTATATTGATTTACGCTGAACCACACGGTTAATTTTATAGAGAAGAGAGACATAAAAGTTTATATTGTCATTTAGTGCTCATAAGTTTTTATCAGCGCTTTATCCATACAACTTTATCATGTACTTATGATCGATATTCTCATTCCGGCATTAAATATTGCACTACGGTGGACAATAAAAAATCGAGGTCTTGTATCCTAATAACAGATTGTCATAATAATGAAATATTGAAAGTATATATTCAAAAACTTTTGTGAAATGGCTTTCAGACTTCGCAAAGAGACAGCAGGTGGCGGTTGGTGTCCGAAACGTCAGATCGAGAATGGTGTGCGCGAATGGATACAGATAGACCTTGGCGGTACTCACATGGTAACAGCTATCGAGACACAAGGCCGTTTCGACCATGGACGTGGTCAAGAATACACCGAGGAATACACCGTCGAATATTGGCGGCCTGGATTTACAGACTGGCGGCCTTACAAACTTTGGAATGGTAAAGAGGTATGACATTTATTTAACAATGCCAATCCTTTTGACATTTTATCTTTTTATATAACTAATCGAAGAAACTGACACTCATGATTATTAAAAGACTTGAACGATTACAACCATCCAGAGAATAACAAAAGAAAAAAAGAATTGTCTGACAACAGAATTAGTCAAGTGCCTTCTTAAAAATCAAAATGAATTATATTTTTGTTATTGCAATGTTTACGAAAAAAAATATTCATCAATTTAGATATTTATTCTTGATAATCGTTATCCCTATTGACATTATCCAGCATTTAATACGTAGTATTTTTCAAAATATATTATTGATACGTTGAAAATAAACAGATGTTAGCGATATCGCGGCTATAGTTTGCGCGCTAAACACATGCTTGACATCTTGCTTCAACTTGATCTGCTTCGAATTGATAACAGCCGGAGCCGAAAAAGAAAATAATTGCCATAAGCACTTGATCTGTACACGTCATAAATGCCGTATATTCTCTTAAAGCGCGGTGCTATGTGACAACATCGAACACGATCCTTATAGTAGCGAGGAGCGGGGTGGCGGGGTAGCGAGGAGCTATCCACAACTATAAATACTGTAAAAGCAATGCCTATATTTTCTCAGTTAACGAGAGGAGAACCGAATCCGTATAGTGGGGATGGAAAATTTCGAGTTTCGTCTCGCTCGCCGCTTATGAATCAGAATATATCGAGTTGACTGCAGTAACTTTAAGTTTATCGCGTGTGATATACAGTGTAAATTTATATATTTTAATTAGTATAATTTTCACGGTTATAATTAGCATTACTATAATTTTATTTATTCAATGTATTTTAGGTAATTTTAAGTTTGATTATGTTTTATATTAATAGAGACTTTCAGATCTAGTAGACAATTAAGTTATTTGTTTATCACACTTATTCCCATCCTAAACAATATTATCGTGTTTACCTGTCGTAAGGTCTGCAACTACGCAGGAATAAGAAAAAGCAATGTGTGACATGTATTTATAATGCGAGACGCCATGCCTGAATGATGAAACCCAATTTTGAAATGATTGTAAATTATAAGCCAGTAGAAGTTATCGAACGAGGGATTTATATTACGTTAGACTAATGTAATAATAATATAGTAATTGCAAGTACAATGGAAAACATATAAAAATAATTTATATCATGTTTGAACATTCAATTGATCTTAAATTACGTTTTTTGATGTGCTCTTTCGAGAAAAAAGAAAAAGTTGAAAATGAGTGCAAATATAATCCCCTTAAGACAAATATTATTAACTACATTACCAGAGTGCTTCATGAAAGAACGAAAAGAGTTATGAAGTTATTCCATTCTTTTTTAATTAAGCGACTAGTAAAAACGTAAAAACTTTTGTTAAAGATATTATCCAGATAAATATTACTATTTCTAGCAAGTGAAAAATGATTTTCAACGAATAAAGGAATGATATTATCTAGCCTCGTCCTCAAGATCAAAAGTATAGTCACGCAAGTGTCCGATCCTTCACAACTGTTTTAAAGATAAAAACGAGTCGTCTACAACGGTTCCTTTGCTACGGCTGCATTAATCTAATTACGTTCTATTGTGTTATTTTGATAATTTATTAAAAAGTTCAGAAAGTGCTTTTGAAACGTCAATTTATTATTTCATATTCGAAGAATGAATGAAAACATTCAACGGAATAAATTAAATAGGAGATCCGCTTGATAAATAAATATACGGGACTACCGAGTCATGTACCTATATAATTGCGATGTGGTTCTAGGTTAAAGTATGTGCGTGGCTTTTCGTCATATGTGCACAGCTTGCAAGACTTAATTAGGAAAATAAAGAGTAGTTCAAAGAATGGTTTTGATTTTTTTATCACCTCAATTAAAATGCACATCATATACGTTAGATATCTTGGTGATGTGTGTGTGTCTATGTAGAGAAGCCTTAATTTAAATGAAAAATATATCAAAATAATACTTCTTCGAACTAAATACCGTACGCTGATATGTTAAAATTATAAAATTAATCTTACTAAAAACGGAAGAAGAAAAAATATTAAAAAAATAGTAGATTACAACTCAAGAACGCGAAAGTGTGGCAAGTCCATAAGGCGTGTAAATTGACACCCGAGGTGAAGCTGAAATAGTAGATTATATACCTAGCCCGGGAAAGTGTAAGTTTGTAGCACGTGAAAATTGACAACTGACTTTTTTGCCCAACGGCTCAAAAGTAGCATTTTCCCAATCGTATGTCGGTCAATAATATGGTAGTTTCGGCCTCACTGGGCAAAAAAACCGTGCACATACCGGGGTATTGGCAAACCCATAGCAGGTGTATAACAATTTTCACATGCTACGGATTTACTAATTTTCCGGCTTATAGGTATGTAATTTATTAAGCCGTCGCCTTTTCAAGACTCATCAAGTCCCTTTAAGGAAGAGAAAGTGACAATCACCTCGACACTTGTCGAACATTAAGAAAATAGAGGGGAGGGGGGTGATAAAGGGAATTCCGTAGAGCTCGAGAAGAATGCTCGAAAAAAAAGCTCGGTCACGCGATGGCATTGTAACGCGCAGTTTCAAACTCCGAGCAGAACCCGCGAAATTGCAAGCGCCATATATAGATATCTTGCTGGCAAGCGATGAGCTTTCGAAAGCCGCGGAATGCTGAAAATTCTACTGCTCCGTATCGCTTTGGGATTTGTTTGTTTGTTTGTTTTTTTTTTTCGTTTCGATGACAAATAGTTTCGCAGTTGATATGCACGTACGTTAATCTCTACGGTGCTTCAATCGGTATTTCGAAAATATTTGCTTTAACGTTGACAGAATTTCATCGGGTTTCGGATAACACACTTTCAGCTTGGAATATTTATGTAAAGTTTACTTTATAAGGTACTGAACAATAAAATTTAATGTATTAAATTGGATGGAGCGGACGACTCGAATAATAAATTATTTTTCTTTTCTTTATTTAATAAGTCTATTATTCGTGATATTACGCGTAAATTATCGATGCAGGCAAATCCTATTGTTCTGATTTTCTTGCAACGAGTTTTCGTTTCCAATTCCGTGTTTAGTATTTATGTTCATTTATTGTAGCATAAATGAACGCGTACTTTATTATTATTTAAAGAAAAAGAAAGAAGAAGCCATTAAACTCAATCGCAAATGTGCTGATTGCTAAACCGCAATCAGAGCCAATCTAACAGTGTGAACAAGTGCTTTAGGAGGTCAGTTCATTTTTAACGTCGCTATTTTCTCCAACGAAAAAAGCGATCTATAGAAATCCCTGCATGCGCAGCAGCAGCAAAATGGAAAACGAAATCGGCAACTCAACCCGGTAAATATCGCTCGTTACACGCGTTACGTTTGGCTGACTTGGGTGGGTGTGTATATTTTTTCTTCTCTCTTTTTTTTGAACTCGTTGCACTACCGTCATCCCCCTCCCCCCTCCCCAACTGTCCGATTTATATCGAGGCGACGGAGCGAGAAGCGAGTAACAAGCCGCGAGCCCGTAAAAATTACGAGCTTCGCCGACGTTTTACGCGCTTGCCTCGGACAATGAATTTTTCTGGGTCAAACTGTACATGATAAAATGTCAATCGCAAAATAACGATGTGGATTAGGAAATGAAAAAAATAAAATGTTGAAAAAACTTCTAAGGTGAGGAACAAAATGCTTAACAATTATTTCACAAGAAATACCAAACACTCAAGAGAGCAGTGAATATAATAATATCTCTTTGGTTAAGATGCATACAATTATTCAGGCCAGCTATATCCATACATTCATTCCACACTGTCGAAATTCCCCCGTAGAATTCACAGACTCAATTTGTTCTAGTGTTTTTCTAGTTATTTACGCGCAGCAGGGGACATAGATAATTTTTATTGTTTTATGGCGGGGAAAACTCTGGTCATCAACAATCTCAAAAAAAGTCGCTTTCGAAATATCTGCGAGCCTTATACGCATGAGAATACATGACTTTGGTATAATGCTCTCTGCCTCTATCTCTCCCTTTCTCTGCTACTTAGATTACGTAATGCCTCAATTCATTTGGTGCTTGCTGTTAATGAAGCTTTCCGCAAATGGAAAAAAGTTGACATTTGTATTTTTTTCTAACAATTGCTTTATGTTGATCTGATGAACACATTGTTATTTAAAATATGTGGCATAATTTTGCAATATAAAATTGATACTGAAAATTGTATTCAATCAAAACACTATGAACTTCCAACAATTATTTGGAAGTACTTTTGCATCGTATAAATGAAACTCATCATTTTCTACATGAATTTTATTAGAACAATATTCAGAATTAGAAATTATTTTACCAAGTATTCTCATAAGGAATGCAAAAAGACACTGATAAATTATCATTCTAGTACATAAATAGTAACGAGTGCTTTTGGCCTTTGACGCAAAAGCTCACCGTCGAGATAAAGAAAAAAGCCCTTAATTCCGACAAGGAGGACAAAAGTTGCGCAAATTTGTACAGCGCCAAGAATCATTGAGTTACACGGAGCTCGAGAATCGTCTCGAGTTTTTACGCGACATCTACCACTACAACTGCAAGCTCGAGGCGTGAAAAACATACGGCAATGAAAAGACTAGGGTTTAATAGTTGATGAGAGTAGTTAAATGTTGGCACGCTCGACAATCTTTTCTTTTCTTATGACAGAGCGAACAATTTTACCTCTAAAACGGAAAAAAGCAGAAATTAAAGTCGACGGTAAATTACCATGAAAAATGATATTAAAAGCTTTTTGCTTTGCGAAACATTGTGGAAATGAATTTTTACAACAAAAATATAATTCCTTATTTTTACAGCTATAACTTTACAAAAATATTTATAATTAAGCCAATTTGTCTGACATTATGCATTGTACGTTAAACATTTGCACATTAAACACACGTTTGTGCTGAAATCAACAGACAAAGACAAGGCGACACCGCCAAATCCTACATACTTTCTCGCAAATACCCAATTCAATTGATCCAAAGCTTGAATACTCACTAAGTCAATTATGACCAAAGATATCTTCTTTAATTCCTCATCCCTCGAATTTCAAGTAATAAAAGACTTGGAGTCGTGCGCCCAAACACATCAACTGATACGTCGATCTTATATGTGGCAGGTGTTGGCGGGCAACGTCGACACATCGACGATCGTAACAAGAGAGTTAGTGCCAGCGATCTTTGCTCAGCAGTTACGAGTTCTACCACATTCGGTACACAGACGCACAGTCTGCTTGAGACTCGAGCTCAAAGGATGCCCGGACCACAGTGAGTATCTACGTAAACAACATTTTTTGCTACTGTCTTCTGCTCCGCAACGCATTTAGTTTCCAAATTAATTTCGGAGGCTACGCGCTTGTGCCATTTGCTGGTTGTTTTTGCTGTGCTCCCACGCCGTAGACATTTTGTTTTGCTTTTATTTGCCTGGACAGTTGTGTGCGGAGTAAACTGAAAAAAAAATAACGACAACGGGCTATGTGGGCCGTGTTCTTCTTCCTCTTTTTTTAGTCCAGAGGCAAATTAGTTTTCATCTTATTCTCCTAATTATGCTTTTAACTTTAAACTTTTCAAATAGGAGAGTCACTTGGAAGTGTTAATGTTGTTAATGAGCGTGCATTCGCCCGAGTGTTGTTGTAATTAGATTAGTAATACTTGTGTTAACGAGATTATTAAAATTTAATTGCGATACAATGGTATTCTCATTTGATACTATCGTAAAAATATGCAAACTTTTCATTTTTACCTCTTGATTGGAATAATCGAGGTCAGTGACGTAATTATCTCGCGAGTTCGAAGTGAAACTTTGGCGCGTTGAATGTCCTTGTTGGAAAGGTAGTTCTGAAATTTATCCAAGCAAATCGTGAAATTAAAACTTGTTTCTTTTTACCAGTCCCTTCGAAACTCTAAGAAAATTCAAGTTTTTTTGTTTCTGGTTGACATCAGTTCTTTTTTTCCTGAATAAAAGAATACGACTCACACTCGAATATTCAGTAACTGCGAAAGTTGATCAAGACATTAAACAAAGTGCATTAAAAATAGTCGTCCTACCAGACTTTTACGATGAGGCTGCGCAGCTTTTAAAAGCTCTCAAACCGCCATAGCGTTCTGCCGAAAATTCTGGAGTATAAGCTCGCGCACTAATAACCTTCACTTATTAACAACTCCGGCAAACTTGGGTGTATGTATGTGTATTTAGGATAGAGCAGCTGCCTCATCGGCTCATTAAAATTTTCGTCGAGGAGCTTGTGCACCAACCACCATATAGCTCCGCATCCGCAAGTCTCTCTCTTTCTCTCGCGTTCGCGCGCGGCATCCAGTTATTCATCTTTTATCGAGGCCTGGCACTACACGCGCATTTTACAAGCAGCGGCAGCACCAACCGCCCTCTCTTCGTGCCGACGCCTGAAATTTTCATTACGGCGAGGTTTAGGTAAGAGTCGAACACTCGAGAGGATCGCAACGCGGCTGAATGTTTTTTTTTTGCGTTAACTGAAGATTACTGCGGTGCGTTTCGAGAAAGCCGAGAATCGTTTTTCAATATTTAAGCTTTTTAGAAGATTTGTTATCAAACTTTGTTTACGTGAATTATTAACATCTTATATCTACTTATATGTTTATTCATTACTAATGACATAACAATGAATTATGCCCAAATATTTGAAAAACAAAATTTGTGTCGAAAGAAATCTGTTTTAACTTTTGTTCTTGCATATTCATTTTTGATTATTGATATATCCAATTTTCCAGGCAGTGTTAGTGAAATTACATATTTACCATAAAATAAAAATGATATATTTTCAACGCAAATAAAGGTTACAGTTATAACATACTTACAGTTACGTTCATTGAATCTGTACACATTTGAATAATCCAAGCATGCATTGAAAATAAGCCCAAATCATTAATTTGGATAAATAGGTTACACTACTTTACATTATAAGTTGTACATTAAAATCATTCCCATCAGCGTAATCGCTCAGGATTACTGAACTGTATATGGCTCATTCGCTTTTGAATATAAAATCAATAATCAAATCTCAATTTACACATATAAATTTATCCTGTTTGAAAATGAAACAAAAGAACCTATACAGATGTATGTATATACACCATTTAAACTTTTGTTAATGAGCTTCTGTTATTTGGAAGTTTAATTAGAGCACATAAGATAATTGCACAATCTTTGTGACATTTATTCATAATTACCGAATTGAAATCACAGATGTATTAAGATTTTCATGTTTTGTGTATGAAAATAGAAATTTTCAACATGGCATAAGAAAAATAATGGAGAATATCGTATCGTATGAATCGCGTCATACGTATATCCCATAAAATACATACACGCGTGCACTATAAAACAAACGATAACAATTGAAAACGGAAGGTATCGCAATTTCGCTGTATAAGTCAAAACGGTAAAAGAATATATACGAGCGACGTGCAGGCCACGGAAAAATGGAAAATGTAAACGAAAGGAAACCCGACTCCGGTATATCCACGAGATAAGTTCGCTCTAATTCCAAGACCTGGAGCAAAACCCATTAGCGCAAAGTCGATGGGTGCGCGCGCGAAAAGACACGCTCATATGCTGCTGCTGTGTCCTCGTTGCTCGTGCCGAGGATTGTACGCGTGAGTTTACCTCCTACATCGTCACGCTTTTTCTTCCTCTTCTTCTTGTCGCTTCAGCATACTCGCGCTTGTTATGCGGGATTTACTTTTGCATTTATAATGCGCTCGCACTTTGATATTAAAAGTTGTGAAAAGAGTACGCGTGCGCCCGTTTGCTTATTGTTATTTTTAATGAGGTACGCGAGTTTGACGATGAGATTTATGGTCTATTTTAAAATAAACATACTGGTAGTCAGGTATAATCAACAAATGAATAATCCAAAGTGAACACTACGAATTCCCCGCACGCCGCTAAATCAAAGTACGCATGTGCGTTACATGTCATATTACGCTGAACTTAATTTACTGAAATAAAGCAGCATTGTTCGCTTTTTCATCATATATTATTATAATACTTAACGTTATTTTGAAATAACGCTAAAACGTTACAAGCTATAATACACTCGACTATTTACTAAAATCCATTTGCAAAAAACATCAAAGTAAAATTTCAAAACGAGAAGACTTTATACTGATTTCGTGAAATTCGGTGAGTGGAAAACCAGTTTAAAGTCAACTCCATCGCGGTCTTGAATAGAAATAACTTCAGGTCGACAGATACTTTTAAAAAATCTACCACTTATCGACGTAATATCTTGAAACAGTTGGCAGCGCTTCTCAAGATACAAATTACCAAGATGTATCTCAAGTTTGTCGTGGCAAAAAAAACGGAGTTCACTGTACTGGCCGATAACGAATGTAGCGCGCTATTGGAATAACTCGCGAGGCTGACACCGCTAACACAGTTTTTGACGAGGAAGCGAGTTAGCTTTTAGTAAATTCACAGTGCGAATTATATAGCAGGAGCTATCACACAGACGCATGAAGGAAAAATGGAAGAAACACAAACTTTTATTCGTAGTTATTTATTTTCATGTTATAAATGCGCTACTAAAATGGGATGGGAGTCAACTTTACGATAAGTAGAGTAATTGAATTTCAATTAATGTATTATGGAGAAGTAAAATGTTAACCAGCGCAGCTATAATTATAACGTACAGAGAGAGTCGACGTTTACTTAAAAATTAGTATTGGAAAGTTTAATCAACTTGATCAGATGTATACGCAGTTGATTAATCTTACTCATTAACATCGCAAAAGTGTTGATTTGTTAACGCAGTCAAAATTGATAAATGGAATTTTTTACATCTTATTTTTATCTCTGATAAGGTATGTTTTCAGCATAAGGTGATATTTAATTAACTGTCTGCTTTAGCAAATTCTCAATGTTAATTATTATACAGCTAAGAAATTCTTGTCTGGTATAGCCAGAAATAAAAGAAAATAGTTCTTTGTTCAATTTTTCGGGTTAATAGACAATAACTCTTCGCATTTATTTAAATATATATTCGTGCTAAAGCCCAACTAGTTTCAGAAAATTTTTCATTCGGACTCTGACTTATTTCAGAATTAATGTTCTATATTGTAAAGAACCAAATTAAATGCCCTTTTACCCAGTTATTCTTCAGAATAAATAATTATCTCTTGCATATTTTCTTCTCAAGTTTCATTATATAAAAATTGTAATCAGCACAAAATCAGTCACGCAACTAATTACAAAATTTAATTAGTCAAAAGTTTACGGACAAGTGCTCCGAGATGTTTATTACAATCTAGATCTAAAGAAATGCAAGAAAATAGTAGGAGAGGAGAGAGAGAGAGAGAGAGAGAGAGAGAGAAAAGAATAGAATTGTAAAACGACTGGGATTTAAACGGATCCAACTTATTTCCATTCGTTTCCGGGGGTCGTTCCGATCTTTGATTTTCTTTCGGCTTTGTGCGTCCGTTGCTTTAATTGCCGAGCAGTCGTGCGAAGAATAGACGAGAAACTTGGAAAAGCTTTTTCAAGCTTTCCGTGCAGCCAGTTTATAATGATGCACCGACGGCGAGCTGCTTTGGCTATTAATTATCTAGTGGCTCCAAATTGAAAGAACTTCGATAACTGTTCGCGGAATTAATTCATTTGCTTTTCGTTCGCCTTTTTATTTGCTTTTCTTTATTTCTTTCTTGAATAAAAGAATTAACAAAAAGACTTTCATCTCGTTAAGTGAACGTTGTTGAATCGCGTAATATTATTATTATTATTTGTTATATTATTGGTACGTTCGATATTCCATTCATAGATTGATGCGATATTGCTGAGTATTATTCAATAAGCATCGAGTTCCATTAATTCTTTGAATTCAAATATCTTCAGTGGTGAATTTGATTTCGAAATATGAAATATTATTTTGTACGTGCTTTCAATAAAACCAGCGAAGAGCGCATACATTTCTGGATTGTGGATTTAAAGAAAAAGATTTCATTCATTTAAAATAACGAAAGGTTCCATTTGAATCTACGCAAGGTCTCTGGCAATTTTCTAGAGTCAATGACGCAGCTGAAAGTTTGACGGTAAAAAGTAAATAAGGGGTAATAATATCGAACGGCTTTTATTTACAGTATCGTTAGTGTACTAAGTAGCTGTCGAGTACAATTGATTAAAAAATAAACGGCCCTAATGACCGTTAAATATCGACTGGCGATGGAATAACACTCAGTCGAGTATTTCTGTCGCTCTGAGTGTACTACTTTTATTTTCTAGTTTCGAGAGGTGA